CTTTTAAGTTTTTATAGCAAAAGAAATTCCGACCACCTGTCGTGATATAAAATCATTTTAATTACATTTATCTTCTACCCGAAATTATACATTTTATATACATACATATATCTGTATATTTACAAATATACTTTAAATACACAGTATTTCCGACCAGCTTTTTACATAAAAACGAATTTCAATGATAATTTCTATACCGTATCTATTATATACTACGATATTAACGTACAACATATTAAAATGTATATATAATACAAGTAGGTATATAGCATTTCTGTTATGTTTAGCAGATATTACTAACTATGTACGTGTACATGTTTTAAAGTAAGTATTTTTAGTATACGATAAAATAATATTGTAGTAATGTTGTTATAAAGTAGTAACTATAAAGAGTACAATAAAATCAAAATAATGTATTATGTAATATTCATTGTATTTGTACAAGAATAAAAGCAACAACAACAATAATAATACACAAAGAAAAAAAATAATCGGTCCAGCATAGTTAATAATTCCAACACTGTAATTGATGATAATATATGTATGTAATATATGTATGTATGTATGTAATTCAAATAAAAAGCAATAACTGTATTAAAAGCATCAAGTTGAATTTTCTATTTTTTTTTTGCAATAAAACGGTAGGTGGTCTTATGTAATATCGTTTAGTTTTTACTGTTATATATTTTTTTAAAATTCATCCCTCCTTATAACATGTTTTATTTTCTCTTCTAAATTTTTTTATTATAGGTTTTGCATTTGTTGTGCTTTTTATTAATTTTAAGGAAAAAAAAATTTTTTTTGTGCTTTAGATTTAAAACGAAATTTGTTTTTATTTTTAAATCTAATTTTAAAGTTTAAATCTTTTGCTTATATCGTAAAAATTAGTGCTGTAGTAAATTCAATTTAATTTAAGAATTTTTTTTTGTTTTAAAATTTTCAGTAATTTAATGGGATTTTCGATGCGATTACAGGATTAAGTATTTTTTTTTTGTCTTTTTTTTGTTGCAACTCTTAACAAATTATTTCATTGATTTGTGAAATACATAGATTTTAGTGTTAGATGCAGGTGTTTTGCAAAATGTATATGGGCGAATTCAGAAAATATGACAATATAAAGTTTGTTGTTCTTGAAAATTGTATATGTATTTTGAAATTGTGAAAGCTTATTTAAGGCGAAAATTTGGTTGAAATTAGTGAAAATCATGAAATTTGGAAAATTTATTTAAAAAACCATCGAAATGATTTTGAGGTGTAGATTTATATATAATATGTAGTATTGTTTTTTTTAAGGTTAATAATTATTTTATATTTTAAAATAAAATATACTCTTTATACTTTTCAATATAATATTGATTACTTGCAGGTTATATTTATGGATAGTTGCTTAAAAATAATAAAACATTGTACAAAATGAAGGAAGTATTAAGATATCTAAATGATTTTGTTTTAATAACTTCTTGATTTAATTGAATAATTAGAATATGCCGGAAAATTTTTCACATACTAATGAAAATGTTATCATACTGGAAATTTTTCTTATGAAAACGTTAATTTTTATTTCAATTTTGCAAGATGTGAAATTTCAAATGGAAATTGATGAAAATTTTTTGAACAAGGCAACAAGAAGATTATGAAAAATTTTCAATTAGAAATTTTAGGTATATACAGCTTGGATTAATTGTATGCGGTTACCCTTAAAAAATCTTAAATTTCGTTACTTATCTTTTTATTATTAAAAAATTTCAAATTTTAACTTATATACGTACCTCTATAAAATTTCAAAGATCCTGAATTATTCTAATCATGTCTATTCAAATAGTTTTTATTAAAAAAATTAAAAATTATATATTTTTTTCTGTATGCATTAAGTGTTCATCGAAAATAAAAATATTAATTAAATTAAGAGATTTCGGAATGAGTTATTGCATATTTTCTTTCCAGATTTTAATAAATAAAATTTTAAATACATGAACGTATATGTTTCGCATGGGCGTACCATTAACGATTTAGTGATCGTAAACATTTTACAATTTTTAATAATATAAGTTAAGTTAATTGTTCTAGGGTGTTATCGAGGGAACGAAACCTGTCTATTATAGAAAAAATCTATAGTGACCGAAAAGGACTATACCGGACTGAAGCCCTTTTCATTAGTCAAATCCAATAATATGGCGTTCGTTCCACATTTTTAGAACTACCGCGTTTTTATTTAAGTATACGATTCGGATGTAAAGGAAGAAGACGCTAAGCAACCATATACGAAGCAAGTATTCAATTATTTTTTGTCAGTTTAATTAAAACAGTTTTAAAATAATTATTTTTTTTCTTCCGAATAAATATGACCTTACAAACTGTCTACATACAAATTCATTTAAGCCCGTATCATAAATATGTTCTTTTATATATATTATTATACTGCAGTATAAATAAATTGATACATTAAAAATTTATTAAGGAAAAAAAAAATTTTACAACTTTATTCAGAGATTTTCAATAAAATATAATGCAGATAGCTGTCTTTAGAAAAACTTTTTGACCTCTGTCAATAAATTCCTTCTTTTGTATTATACTTTTTTTTCTTTTTGTACAGATATCCACATAATTTACCACACCAATCTATATACGACATTTTGTTTTTTGTTTTTTTTTATTTTAAATATAGCTTAAAGCATATTATTTAAGGACTTTCATTTAATCAACTCCATAAACACACTTTGCAACTTTTTTCCTATTCTTTTTTTTTTATTTTTGTATAAAAACATACTCCATATATAATTTAATATAATTTTTTTATAATGTAAAGAATTAAAAAAAAAATCTATATTGTATGCATTTTGTACATAATAAATGTATATATATACAATATGTACTAGCATATGATTAAAATAATAAGGGTTTATGTGCAAGTGTTATTATTTTTAAAATCACATCAAATTTATTTTGTATATATATTTTCGGTAGAGAAGTGAAAAACATTAAGTACATTTTTGTGGAGTTTTGAGTTTAATAAGTGCAAAAACTGACCCACAAATTAGCCCATAAATGGTCAGATAATTGTAAAGGTTCATCATTAATGAAAATAGGAAAAGGCAGGGATTTAACGTAATAGTTTTTTACTTCTTTTTTTGCTTACCCAAATAGGGAGAGTTAAATGAGGAATGAGAAGGCATTGTTGAATAGAGTAAGGCTGATCTCATCATAATGGTAAGGGTGCTGAAAGTCATTGCCTCATAGTTAAAATGACCAACGTTAGGGGATGGCAGGATGGAAGAAGAAGCGTATCCGGGGGGCTTTTTTTTATGATGGCCCGGGAGATCTGCCGGGAAAATATGGTGCGGCTCTTGAAATTCGCCAAAGAAATTAATTGACTTCAGTAGATGATTTTTGTGATTGTATTATTTGAGGGTTGTGGGGTGTTAATTTTCTGGTTGCCGATGGACTTTTTTGTTGACCTTGCAGATAGACTTCGCGTTGGTGGTCAGGCGAGCACATAAAAAAACATATTTAGGCAGAAATGTAACTTTAGTTATTTGTTCGCCTATGAGTACCAACAACATACGATTTTAAATTAAATTCCTACGAGATTGTAGGACTTCACAACCCTACTTTCACAACCCTTTTTCAACTCAAAAGTTAATTTTTCGACTTTGTAGTTTTTATTTCCTAACTGGTGGTGTTATAATAATATCGTTATATAAATATTAAACAAAAATATCTACACATATACTAGTATATATACTTGTACACATATATTATTCATAAGCATTTTGAATATTTTTATAAACACACATATGAATATTTGTATACAATAGTTGAATTACCCAGTAGATGCATTTATAAACACACACACACACCGATACACATTTGTATAGCCAAGTAAATATCTATAAGGATATTTTCATTTTATTTGTTGTTAATTTCATTTTCAGTTATTCATTCGATTGTGCAGTATTTGTTGTATTGTCTCCCTATATACTCCTGATTTAATAATAATGAAAATTAAAAAAAAAAAAAATATCATTAAAAATGAAAAAAAGGACGAAAATTAAATAAATATAATAAAAATGTGCAAAGAGAATTCAATTCCATTATATTCTTTCATATACACTGCATTTTAATTTTTCCCTTTTTAAATTTCTTGTTGTTTCATTACATATTTATTTTTTAAACAAAGAAAATAATTACCGTTATTTGTTTGAAAATAAATTTTGTATACACACATTCATACATACATTTGGGTATATAAACATATACATATAGATGCATTTAAAGTTAATGCAAGTTGAAATTTGTGTATAATGCATTTTATATAATAAAATTTCGTATACGTACGAATATTTTAGAAAAAGGACGAATTTGAAATTAATCTAAATTTATAGAAAAGCAAAAGCGGTTAAGAGGACAGCAGGTTTTTGTTGTTTTTCTAGTTTTTGTTTTTTTTTTGTTAAATTTTGGCATTAAATCATCAAAGGTTTTGCTTTAATTTTTTGACTAATCTCTAAATTAAATTAATTTAACCTAATTTATTTATTTTTTTTTTCATTTTTTGCCAATTTTTTCATTTTATAATATAAGAATGTACATCGAACTCTATAAATTAAATACGGTTGTTTAACTTTAAAATAATGTCATCAAAAATAATAAGAAAAACTAAAAAATATTTTGTATTAAGCTATAAATTTTATTTAATATAGACAGTGTTCGCACATAATTTTATTTGAAAATAAGGCGGGAAAATTTTCTAAAACAATTCAAATATGCAATAATAATATAGAAAGTCAATCTGACGATAGCAATTCAACATATTATCCTTTGAAAGGAAGTCTTTTGAAAATTTTATTTATACATTGTTAATTTTCAATGGAAAAAATTTTATTCTTTATCAATATATTTAAATTAATTCTCATTAGCATTTAAATCACATTAGATCAATTAATTACTTATCGTTTTTAACAGACATTATATAAATATTTTTACAAATGGAGTGAATTAATGAAAATAGTTTTAATAAAAAAAAATTATTTTTTATATGTAAAATATATGGGGAATTGATCGTATATTTAAATTAAGAAAATCTATAAAATGATTTTCGACTAATTACTGTGGATTTGAGGACTAGATGAATCGCAGCTTTAAGTATAATTGTATATGAAGTGCATATTATGTCTATATTTAAAAACCTTACTCGTTAATATCCTTTTTGAAAATTTTTATCTAGTTGCGTTATTTTAAATGAATTTAAATTGTCAATTGTAAATACGAACCTGAAATTAAAAAAAAAATAAAAAATTTATTAGTTTATTTATCGTAATTTTATATTATTTTTTGTATAGATAAAAAATATGTACATAATACGATTAAAAGTGTGTGTATGTAAAAAACTTAAATTGGTTTAAAAAATTGTCATCAAATTCTTAACATTTTCTGCTGTAGTTAAAGATTTAGGAGAAACATCCACCATAGTGATGACAAAATCTTGTAATGATAGAAGAAAATCAGATCAAGAGTAAAATTATATCTAAATCGTTAAGGAAGATGAACGGCAATATTTCAACTATATACCTAATTCTGACCCGATCCCATTGCTTAAAATGAAGAATGATAAGTAATGGCATCAAACTATGGTTGTGTCAGACATGTCAACTATGGTTGTTTCATTACTTTTCGTTCTTCTCTTTAGGCAATGTGATCGGGTAAAAATTATTTTTTGACAATATCAGAATTCGGAAACTGAACATTCGCTATATAGAGGCCAATTTTCATTTTTCACCATAGTTAATAAAATAATTTACAGAATTTCTAATGATTTAATACTTGAGTTGTGTTTTCTAACAGAATTAACTGACAAATTTTTAGGGTAAAATTGGATTGCATAAAGTGAGCCACCATTCTTAGTAGAGTTCAAGTTTATATTTTTGTATAGGTAGGCTAACTAATAGGTCAATAAATAGGTTCCTTAAAATTAGAAAGAAGTATTTAATATACATTTTCATAAATTTGTGCAATAGTTTCGTTAAATCAGAAAATATACTTTGGATCGATTTTTTGGTATACCAGATCAGATATTTTCATTCGTATGGCTTCAAATATATGCGTAATATCATAAATGATTTTCTGTATTGCCTTTTTTAAAGTGTTGAAACCTGTCTACCTTAGTTTATGCCCCTCTCTCTTGGAGGCAACTGGATTTATGGAAATGAAATGAATGCTTGTTTAAAAAATTTAGTAGTTGCAGCACAGCTTAGAATTAATATACTCGTATATTTTTAATATATACGTAAATTAAATTAAATGATTTTAAGCTAAAAAAAAATAAACTATTTCCTTTGAAATTAAGTTTGAATTGTAATTTAAGTTTGTCAAATATGACTAGGTTTAAATTCCAATCTTTAATTAATTACTATATTTAAATTAATTGCTGAAGCCATAACAATATTTGACTAGGGATATTTTCTCTTAAAAGAATAAAATGCTATTTATATTTCGGAATTTCCTAATTTTTTTTGTAATTTATTTAAAATCAGTAACAATCAATCCAAAATTAACAAGGTCTTATTGCATAATTCCTTCTTAATGGTATTCTTTGGAAATACGCCAATGAATGATAATAAAGAGTTGCATAACATTTCGGACAGATAAAAAACGTGAATCAATTTATTGTTATACTTATCGTCGTTCAGTTATTGAATAACATCTAGTTTTTTTGCATTGATTGAGTACTTTTCAGTTTATTTTTTAAAGTATATAAAACTTGTAAATAAAAAAATTGCATTTTACTTTTTTATTTTTAAAAATTGGGAAAAATAAGAAAATGTCGGAACACAAATTATCTATATGAGATTGTTTTTCTTCAGCATATTAAGGGATTAACATGGGAAATGCATTTTCATATCGAATTTTTATTCTAATATTTTATTTTTTGGTATTCCTTTTTTTTTGCTCGGCAATAGTGAAGTAAAAAGGGAACAAGAAAAAAAATTAAATAAAGAAAATACACAAAACATAATTTGATAAAATTTGAATTTCCCTCAATTTCCAAAAAAATTGATGGAAAAGAAACTTTTTACCTCAGGATTTTTCAATTTTTTTTTTTTTGTTCAAATAGATTTCAAAGTTTTCGTTCAAAAATTCAATTGCTGTAAAACGATAATAGATTTTGAAGTCTAAACAAGAAATTAGTAAGAAAAAAAAAATTCGATCTACTTGCCTATTTTGTTCTTTTTTCGGGGAACATGATTAGTTTTTTCCCTATTTTTTCTTTTTTTTATCTAATCTTGTATTACAAAACTTTTCCATTCAAATTTCTCATATAAAACATTTTTTAATAGTTTTACATAGTAAATTTGGTACAATTGTGTTGCCATACAACATTAAAAATTTTTTATGACTTTTTTTTTTTTTGTTAACAATCAAATAAAGTATGTATTAATATAGGCATTGTATAGAAACTTTACTTGCCCTAAAATTTAAGATATAGAAAAAATATAGGAACATACAAGTCAGAAAGTTTTTACAATTTTTTAATTGAACCATTGAATTTATTTCCTGTTAGTAATAATAAAACATAAAAAAGGTTAAAAAATAAGTATAAAATAGGAAAGGTTGACCCAGTCTATGCCAGTATATTATTTGCACGGGAATGGATGGTTAGTGGTGTCGTCTGTAGCAAATCTATTACTCTAATAATCAAAATCATTTCCATCATTATTTGGTTTTGAGTGAATATTTTAACACTGTAGCTGAAATCGTTACATGTTATCGATGTGGGTGGCGGTAATTGCTTTCGCAGATGAATAGCAGGATCGGGTGAACTACTTTTGCAATTCGTGATCGAAAATTAGAATAACTTATATCAATTCCTTTTTGATTTAATTAGTTGTCGCAGGAAAGAGCGGTGAGGTATAGTTTAAACACAGTTCGTTTCTGAGATTAATTAGTTGAATTTTTTTCTATTTTCTTACAATATTTTTGATACAAGTGAAGGGCTGTACAATTTTATTTTAAGAAAAACTTCCATAAAAATGTCAATTCGGTCGTTTGGTCGTAACAAAAAACGTTAAATGCCCATGTGAATAAAAAAAAAAAAACAATGAAAAAAATAAATTGTGTGTGAATGAAAATTAAGTTGTTTTGTCACAACATGCTTTTCGATTCTTATTTGCATTATTATTATTGATTAAACAGATCAATAACTTTAAAGAATATTCCAAAATACATTTTGCAAATTTTCCAAATAAATTGAACTGCTAACATCTTGTGAATAAAAGTTTTATTGAAATGATCTTAGCAGTTCCAACTGCTAATTTTAAGTGACTTTTTGAATTTTCACATTACCCTCAACCATTGTCCTTACAAATTATGTACGAATTCAATGTAAAACTCAAATATGAGAATTTCAAATTTTTTGTCATATTAAATTTTTTTGATTACTTAATAAGATTAGTTAATAGATTTACATTCAAAGATTTAATAAATTTACAATATTTGACAAAATTTTGTATAAATTGTTTACCAGTAAAATAAATAATGATTTGAAGCTCTCCCCCTTCCTTCCTAATTTTTTTAATATACATAATTAAATTACCGATATTTTGTGGTATGGACCCAATATTCCATTTAGTAATATTAAATAATATAGCAGGGAATATTTATGTAAAGAAAAAACCCTATCAATTTCAACTAAATAAAATTGTTAATTGCATTAAAATTGAATTTTATTTCTCATATACAATTACAAAAAATATGCTAGAAGCAACAAATTATACAAGTATAGATATTATTGCAAAAAAAAAAGAAGCAAATCAGGGTTTTCTACATATTTATATTTTAATCGTTTTCACTTGAAATGATTTTTTGCAATTAAATTAAAATATTTTTTAGATATTAATAAAATGGATTTAATTTTTTATTTTCTCTTATACATGCTTATTTTCCTATATAACATTTCAAAACAGAATTAAATTATCGAAGTTGAGTCTTAGTACGTTCACTTAAACTTATACAAAAAGAATATATTTCAAAAAAAAATAAAATATAATTTATGAGTCTCTTATACTGTTGATATATATATATGAGTATTATGAGCACATCATCTTATGTACATTTATTTTGAAAATAAGAATGAAGGGCGCCTTTGATGAAATTGAAGAATATTTAATTTGGTTAATGTAAATTAAATTGCGATTCCAGGATATTAAGAAAATATAATAAAATTTATTAAATAAATGGCAAGAATAGCTTAGGGTGCAAAAAAAATTTGTATAAATATAATTGTATATATATGTACTTGTAGTTGAAATACTGATATATATTTATATATAGGTACAGTAGAGAATAATTTGCAAAATTGAATTTTACCAATATTTTAAGGAAAGAGAGAGAAAAAAGCATTAAAATTAAAATATTTTTTTTTTTTGCGATTTTAAGATTTTCAAATATTTTAAGCTCATTACAGAATTCGGATTAAATATTTTAATCGTTTTATATATACACTTATATAACAAGTGATTCAATATTTATTTTCTTTAATTTTTCTTAAACAAAATAAATTTCATGGAAAATATTTTTTATCCTTCGGTTAGCTTTTCCTTTATATATAAAATTTAATTTCATTTGTTTTCCTTTTTTATTCATAATTCAATACCTTTGTATTTTAAATAAATTTCTTTTTTTTTCTCTCGATTTCAAATTATTTACATAAATTTTAAGTTCTCGGAAATTTTTGAGGAAACAATTTAATTATAAGCGGTTATATGCCCTACACTTATTGTATTTTTCCAAATCAACACCATTTTTAATTCTTTTTTTGAATATTTTAGTGATAAATATTAAAATATATGGAAAATTTTATTAATTTTCCGAAAAGGACGTAGAGAACTGGAAATGTATATATGGGAAAAATAAAACAGACTGATTGGATGAGTAAAATCTTGTACTAAAATTAACAATATAATAATCAAAGAAATGTTTACTTCTGTATGCAGAAGGATTTCTTTTGTGAAGATTTCCGAAATTTTCAGAACCTTATTAAGTAATCATTAGAAAAATTTTAGACTAGTATTGTCATTTTATTGTAATTCTCTAAGTTCATTAATAGTTAAGAAACATTAATAGTTAATGTACGGGCCTCGTAACCAAAATGTCAGTTCACCCCTTCCAAAATAATGAAAGTTATTGCAATAAATATTGCACTTTGCCCATTAAAAATCATATTTTCCTACAATTTTGTCATACTGAATCCAAGATTATTCAGAGATTCCAAGAT